TTAATACTTGATGAAATATTACAGCCACTATATATGAATTATACGCTTTTTCTTTGGAACTCTCTAAATTCTCTGATCAACTTACTCGGATACAAAAAGCTTTTTTCTTTATTATTTTTTATTTGTAAACGCTCGATTGACGACAGAACTGACCAGAGGTAGCCTCTCGGGATCCTGGACACGTGCTCTTTGAAAGGCCCCGGTAGAGGAATGGACCACTCGCCACATACCAGCGTTATCACCACGCCATGTGGATGAGGGTTCATCTTTCGCGTAGATCTTGTAGAGATTAGAGCCAACGTACGACTTCTCATGTTTTACTATCCTCGTATTTTTCTTAACACAAGACGATTCACATTTTAGACAAGAGGGGGGCAACAACGATAACAATTAAAAAAGTGATAAAACTAATGAGAAATGAGAGGGAGTTGTGAGCTGTAGTAGTTATTTGTACATCACATAGTAGATACAGCAACAATAACGATTCAACATCCATTTTTCTGAATAAGTGTAACTGATTCAAGGTGATTATTCTGTGTTTTGCGTTAGTATCTCGGATAGTATTTTCATAACCTACTTCTGTGGGTCCAGCGTCCGCAGTTTGTCTTGACTAAACATTTAGATAGGAAGGGCTGATACGTAACAGACTGGATAGATATATCAGTATATGTTTTCTTTGTTACCACGAGCCCGTTTAACTTCTCGGTGCGTCATGTCCTGTGTGGTGCTTGTATTTGGTAGGGCTGCAGTATCTACACTATTCTATACACCAGTTTGTGCAGGGGCAAACAGGAACAAGAGTCAACGAGAGGATCAGGTGAAGTGATCTTACTTAGTACATACGTAGTTAAGTCTTTCTGTGTGATGTGCATATGTGCTGCAGTTCTGGGGGGCATAAAAAAACCCCGTGTGTCATGGTTTGTATACATTATGGATAGCAATTATGTCTGTCGCTATATTCGATAACTAAATAACCTGGTACGGCGACGGTGATCCAGTTTTGGTGCTAGCTTGAAGGTGTGATACATGTCTATCCATGGCTTGCTCTACAATTAATTAACACCTCCTGGTTCTAGAAGCCAGTTATAATGGTGGCATACTGTCCTGGACATAAAATGCTCCTATGGAAAACAACGCAGGGTAACAACTTCTTAGGGTTACGCAGCCTACTATTCCACATGTAGTACATTCAAAGTTATGCACCCTCACAGTAAGTTTTTCAGGATTCGCATTGTGGCTACTTGTCATTTCATGGTCCTTATAGAGATGATCAGTGCAAATAGCGTCCCCTATGTGTCTGCGAGATCACAAGCTACATACTCTTCCCTTTATTGGAGTACGTACTACATCACATAGCCATGACAACCAAGCAGCACAAACAGATATATAATTTAGTTGCTCAGATTTGAATAGCAGCAGAGTGTGTATAGTTATTATTAGATAGCGAGCTCCACAATGAATAGATTCCAGTGTTATAGAACAAGGTGGTTCCTGAAGTCACATGTATTTTTTTCTCAACTATTTTTTTCATGATATTGTGGTTTATTTATTTCCATTGGTTATACTTGTTGTATTTTCTAAAGAATTCAGCATGCACGATGACACACTGCCTGCACTGGCTTGCATCCCTTCTTACATACGTATTAGCAGATGATACCACAGGAGACAGATAAGCAGACACACGCTCCTATGGCCACTCTACGCTCTCACAGCGATCGGCTCGATCAAGCCTCGAGCGCAGCATTCGCGCTGATTTGTCTCTTCTGTGCGAGTGGGACTTGTGTTCTCCTGATACTCTACCAGGAGTGGGGGACCCACGGGAGCAATCATAAGGAAATACTTAATAAATGAGCTAGCAAGAAATATACCACCAGACTGCTTCATCAACGGCATGAGCGCGGCTTCCACACAAAACTGCTGTAATAACTCATGAAACTATGTGAATGTTCATCCTGGCCTTCATCAACAGTCAGCCAGATCCTTAATTACAGCTGAACAATTTGTGAGGAATTTTGAGAAACCTTCACTTTCCATATCAGCTGTGATGTTGATTAATGATCACATATCCTACGTGTTCTCTACTGTAGCAGAAGTTTTTTATTTCTTAACAAAACTGCCTTTTCAAACCCTCAACATTGCCCCAAACCTTGCTACAAATCATAATAAAGAGGGCACACTATACAAGCTTTCTGGGCTTGTAATGTACTGACGTATTGGCGGCCCCCTGGTGAGGCGATGTGGTTTCAGCACCTGTCTGAGGCTGAGGACCAGGGAGTCTTCATCTGCAGCCAGTCTGACAGCATAACAGTTAGCTCATGGGGAGGTAGACCTGGCAGACAGTGACACTACTCAGTACATTACAGCCAAAAGACTTATAGTGCTGCCTCTATTTATGATTTTAGCAAGTTTGGGCAATTTGAGGGTTTTGAAAAGGCAGTTTTGGTTAAGAAATAAAAACTTCTGTACAGTAGAAACACTGGTATGTATCATTATCAACATCACAGACTGATATGGATAAATAAGGTTTCTCCAAAATCTCACAAAGTTGTTCAGCTTAATTAAGATCTGCTGACTATGAAGGCCATATAACATTCACATAGTTTTCATAGTTATTAAGCCATTTTGTGACCCCTCAGGTCCTGTATGGAAGCATCTGTTATATTTCTCTACTCATTTATTAAGTATTTTCCTTATATTCTCCCGTCCGTATATCAGTGTAGGAGTATCCAGGAGTGGAAACAAGTCAATCAAAAAGACAAATCACAAGTTGCCTCAGGGGTTGTCACCATCTGTACAGCGTACACTCTGTCCATAGACTTTCTCTTATCTTCTCTCTTGTGATCCACCTCTAAACTATGTGAAGGGAGCAGCCCAGTGCAGCAGTTGTCAATCACTGCTTCTTTAGAAAATACACAGGACCAATGGAAAATAAACCTGCCAACAAAAATATATGAGAAAAATACATGTGACTCAGGACCTGTTCACACTGGAATCTGATATGGGTTGCACTAAAAAAATATTCAAATCTGAGCAATAAATCAGAATTGAGCGCTTTGGCTTGCAGCTTGAACGTATCCAAAAAGGAGCGTTGCTGTGCATGGGGGTATTTTCAACTTATAGGACCAATGACAATGCCACAGATCATATATATACTATGTTAATATATATGCGTAACTAAATGTTACCTGTGTTTCCAGGAGCTTTATGTCCAGGACTATGCCACCATTAACTGGCCTGCTCAGAGGAATAATGTGGCAGCATGTGACATGTACACACCTCACAGCACCCTGCTCACCGTCGCCTACAGTAAGTATGCATAGCACACATAATGCACCATAATGAAAAACAACAAGGGGTTTTTAAGCAATGATAAAAAATAATAGTTGTACTGTGAATCACTTCCCTGACCTTGTGACTCTGTTCCTGTTGCCCTGCAGTGGTGTTAAATGTGTACGAGGCCTACCACAGCACCACAATGAGAGGAAAGGCTGTCAAAGAACTATATGAACACATCCAGGCTGACGACAGCTTCACTAAATGTATCAGCCATGTGTATCAGCATTGGACCGGTAGTATACACTAATACTCAAAACACAGATATCACCTTGAATAGAATATTGGATATGTATGTGCTTGACACAGGATGAAAAACACTACAGCTCAACTTATTTCTATATACTTTTTAAATCGTCCTCTTTAAATAAGCTCTGTAAAAGAAATAGAGGATGTAAACATGAAGTATTGGTCTTTCTCTTCAGATCTCCAAGACTATCAACATGCTGGTTCGCTGGTATGTGGATGGTCCTTCCTCTCCGGCCTTTCAAGAGCACGTGTCCAGGATCCCAGACTACCTCTGGTCAGTCTCTAACAGCTAAAAAAAAAAAAAAAAACTTCTGTTCCATAATTGATCAGAATTAGAAGTTCAAGAAAAACATAATTGTGCTGTATATTCTGATATATAACATGTAATGTTAAAAACAGTACTCATTCAATAGTAATAAGTCATTAATCAAACATATGCAAGAAAGCGTACAACTGATAAACTAACAGTCAGTTCTCTGTGTTCCAGGTTGGGATTAGATGGCATGAAAATGCAGGTGAGAATTGGTTCTCTGCTGTTTTTGTATTTTATGTATTTTATATAGGTTGTGTAGATGTAATAAGTTAAATCATAAGCGTGTCTCACCCTAAAAGCTCATGTTTATGAACAGTTCAGTAGGAGCTCAAATATCCAGAAGAGTTGAAACACTGTTTCATTTGCTAAAAAAAACAGGTGGATGGACTGAAAAGTTTTTAAAAACTAAATTAAGTTGTCTTTATCCTACTTGCTCCTGCAGTAAACACAGTAAAGTCCAACTGAACTTAATCTGAGTGTTTCACCCCTTTTGTGCTTTTTGTTCTGAGCAGGGAACCAATGGATCTCAACTCTGGGATACTTGCTTTGCTGTACAGGCATTCCTTGAGGTAATTCAAAAATGAGCGCTTGTGTTTTCAGTGTTGTTAATGCAAGTGAGCAGTCAGTGCGAACAGCAGTTATGTGACCTAGAGGCAACATGTATGAATGGAAATGCAGTGGGCCCAGTAATGAGCCCTGAGGGACCCCACATATGATGTCAATTTTCCTTGACGTAAAAATTCTCAATTCCCTTTACTCGTAGATAATTTATTACCTTGAGAAGAGCTGCTTGAGCACTGTGGTTGCTATAAAATCCTGATTTAAAGGTATCTTGTTGCCGATTATAATAAATTGTTTGTCGGGGTCTTTCAGGCAAGAGCCCAGGATAACCCCAGACTAGCGGAGTGCCTTCGAGATGCTCATCAGTTCCTCGCCATCACACAGGTAACACAAACATCAAAGGTTAAACGGTTTTCATTATTGAGCAGGAGGGAAAAACACATATCTTAATATTCTGCTGACATTAAGTGTTTGGCAGTGGTTATTTAAACCTCAAGAAGACATTCAGGTTTGATAAAGATCAAAACAGTGTAATACGAACTGTGATTTTTTTATGCCTAAATAGTTTTTCGACTCCAACAGATACCTGAGAATCCTCCTGAGTATCAGAAGTACTACAGACAGATGAACAAGGTATAAATCTAATATCATACAAGAGCCCTTTTTCAACCATTTTTTGAAATATGGGCTCTAAAAAAAGTACACATCTTCCACATCTTAGCCTGTTTGCAAGTATGTGTATGTGCATGCACTTTTTACCCTTGCAATTCTTGTGTGTGTGTGTCAGGGAGGCTTCCCCTTCAGTACCCGTGACTGTGGTTGGATCGTGGCTGACTGCACAGCTGAGGGCCTGAAGTCAGTGATGCTGCTGCAGGAGCTCTGTCCCTCCATCAGCCAGCCGGTCACCTCAGAGCGTCTTTATGATGCTGTCAATGTGGTGCGTCTGCAGTGAATTCATGAATGGAAGATTAACTGCCCTTTTTTGAAGCGTTATACTCCCTTGAGTTAAAGTCTGTGTTGGTAGTGCACCATTGTCATCTTTTCTCACTTTATCTTTTATGAAAAGCTCCAGAAGTTATAGTTTGCTGATACCACTCTCACATCTGCCCATACATATGAAGCTACATCCATGCAGAGGTTAGCTTAGCTTAGCACAAAGACTGGAAATGTGGAGACAAAATCCACCTACCAGCACATCTAAAGTTAATTATTTAATATGTTGTATCTCGTTAGTATAACCAAAATCAGACTACAATCCAAACTGAAATCACAGTCCTTCATGTACACACGTATTCAGCATTACAGCTCTTTCACCATGTGTCTTGTCTTCTCTGTGTAGTTGCTGAGCATGAGGAACCCTGATGGTGGATTTGCCACATATGAAACAAAGAGAGGAGGGAAACTCCTGGAGCTACTCAACCCCTCCGAGGTGTTTGGTATGTTACCATTACTGTTAATAACCATTTAATGCCATTCACTTCCAGTCTTAAAACATTACATACTGTATGTTATTACATAAAATAGTGGAGATGAAGATGTAATAATGATAAAGACCATGACTAAAAAGGCATGACATAAAAAGACACTTTGATTGATGAGTTGAGTTGATTTCTTGGTAACCCAAAAATTTCACAATAATTTTATAATAACAGCATCATGCAAGTTGGTGCCTGATTTTATTTTCAGCTTTGTAAAGGAGCTCAGTTCACTCCCAGTGTTACTCAACCTGCTAATATAAAAAAATGGAACAAGGCCCAACAATACAGGGGAACAATATTAATGTGACATTTCTATTTCCTTTCAACATTTAAAGGCTGGAAAACTTTTTCCGTTGCACTCTTGAAATGTTGCAATATGATGGTCTTTACAATAGAAAGGGGCAAAGAGCCTAACAATGTCATGGTTTGCTGTTAAAAAGGGGATGCAGTATGTGTTGTGAAATGTGATATTAATTACCAAACTCACTGTGCAATCTCTGTCTCTTTCTTACACACACAAACAGGTGACATCATTAGAGATTACACCTATGTGTGGACCTCAGCAGTAATGCAGGCTCTGAGGCACTTCAAGGCATTCAACACTGTGCTGAGGAGATAAGGTATACTCCAACATTCACATATATCTGCATACATACATGTTGTGTATTAGTTTGTATTAGTACTGACACAGAAACACCTGACTAATCTAATGGAAGGAATGAAGCATGCATTACTCTTTGACAAAGCTAATTTAAAGTGGTTTTAACTGCATTAGTTAAGATCATATTTGTTGCCATCCTCTTTTTGTTTCATGCTTCAGTTCTTGTTGAAGTTCAGGAAGAATCTTTGCCCACCTCGTCCTTCCAGAGAGGAAACTCTGGAGGGACGAGGTGAATGTTTCCTGTTTATGTGTCTGTTGGTTTCTTTTACAGCTCCACTCTAAGAGAAGGACTGGAGTACTGCAGGAGGTTGCAGAGGCCTGATGGATCCTGGGAAGGGTGAGACTGCACTTCTTATTTTAATGATATCCTACTTAGTGGACAGCTCATGCCTAATGAGAAATAATCAATTTGTGCTTGTGCTCAGGTCCTGGGGAGTGTGCTTTACATATGGAATATGGTTTGGCCTTGAAGCCTTTGCTTGTATGGGTCACATCTACAAGGACGAGTAAGAGTTTCAAACACACTGATCACTGAAATTTTACACTGAACCATGAACATCACTTTTGACCCACAACAAGTACACCGTGTGCTCCTTAACTTGCCAAACCACGCAGGACATCCACAAACTCCCAGCCTGCATACTTTATTACGCTGTTATGCCTCTGTTACCAGGGATGTGTGCGTGGAGGTTCAGAAAGCTTGTGAGTTCCTGCTGGACCGGCAGATGTCAGATGGAGGCTGGGGGGAGGACTTTGAGTCATGCGAGCAGCGGCGCTACGTCCAGAGCAGCGCCGCTCAGATCCACAACACCTGCTGGGCTTTGTTAGGCCTCATGGCTGTCAGGTAAAGAAATGTTTAGCTTGGGCTATCTAAAGATGGATCTAGGTGTGTATTCAGACATCTCACAAGGAAATTAGTGTGTATAGGGTGTGTTTTGGTCCAGCCAGAATGATTCTTATTGATTTGAGCCTTTAGTCATTTATTTATCTATTGTAGGTAGATTTTATTTATTTAATTGCTGTTGCCTTTGATTATGTTCATGCTCTACCATAAAATGTGTTTCTGTCTATTTACATGACTACAAAATGGAGTTTTGGTAGTTGATATATCAAACTAAACAAATGTAATCAAATCTGTGTGTGTGATCAGGCATCCTGATGGACGGGCCATTGAGAGAGGAGTACAGCTGCTGATTGACAAACAGCTGCCCAATGGCGACTGGCCACAGGTGATTCTCTGTCTTGTGTATATTTTACTATTTACATGTCATACGCTCAAATTATACCTAATTTACTCTGCCATCAATACAACTAATAACATAATGAGTCCATCCAATGACAATATGACTCATAATGTGAGCTTTAATGGGTTAATTTTTCTCCGTCCTCAGGAGAATATAGCAGGTGTGTTCAACAAGAGCTGCGCTATCAGCTACACCTCCTACAGAAATGTCTTCCCAGTCTGGACCCTCGGCCGCTTCTCAACCCTTTACCCCAGCAGTCCGTTGGCTGGGAAGGTCAAGCTATGAAGACATTTAAAAGGACTTCCAGGATGAAGAAACAAAATGTGTGCAACAAATACAACGACACAGTTCAGACAATCAATGGAGAGAATATATTTTTTGACACTGCCAGAAATATCAGCCTTTAAATTATGCATCATTTGTACATAGCCTTTTTAATGTCTGACGGAGGCTGTGTTATATATATATATATATATATATATATAAAACACTGCAGCTGTTGTTTCCATCAGATAAAGAAACACATTTCATTCTCTTCATTCCAGGTTTATCCATCAGAGCTACTCCTTAAAAACCTGTTATGATAATCTGTTGCTATCTTGGACGCCCAGTTAACATGCACTGGTTGCTGTATGAAAGCATGTATGCCCATGTTGCCTTATATGTTTTAATTTACTTACAATTTACATGTAGAATAAAGAATTTTCCTATGGAATCTTAACTGGATGTGTCTTCAGTTACTGTACTTTGCATTGGTTTGTGCTCAGCCAAATACCACATACAGAGCACATACGAAAATAAAAGCAATTTATTTATTCATAAAAATAATTCCTCACAAGACATGGTGATCAATCAGGATTTTAAATTGCATTAATGAGACCAAATGGCAGCAGTGATACATTGGTCTTCATACGGTGAACATGAGAAACACCCAGTATATGTGCAGTGATGTCCAATGATCATTTAACCTTTATAAGCCTGCTCTGGCCTGCTCTTCCACAGTTGGCAGAGCAGGCACATTTTTTCTGCAACACCCTACACTGCCTCCCACGGCACATACCAACACGTATTGGTGTTAGCTGGGTGTACTCTCCAGCAGTTGCTGAGAGAAGCATGATGAAGAGGAGGTTGTGTTGCTCAGGTCTGTTCAATAAAACCTGAAGGTGGTCAACAACCTGATGTTGGTCTATTCTGTAGACATCGATTGCATGTCTGCATGTCCTGGGAGAGGTATCCCACCTCTGTTGGTTTCTTCCATTTTTACCCTGTTTAAGGGGTTTTTGGGGAGAGTTTCCTTATCCGAATCAAGGGTCTAAATGATGTATGCTGTACGGCTTTAGGCAACTATGTGATTGGTGATATTGCGTTGTATGACTTAGCAAGCAGGGGATGAATCAATCCTGCAATCTTTCAGTCATAGGTCTACTTCTGTAACCTTTAGTGGCAGAATGTGTCCTCTGCAGAGGCAAAAAAAATACAGCATGTCACAGTTTGTACTAAGGCTCAGCTGTCTGCCATTCATTATACATATACTGATTTATTCTGTGGAGAAGTAATAGTGATAATGAAAGCTCCAGTTTGTTGCCCTTTGACCAACAATTCTGTCTCTGACACACCTGTTGAGATCAAGTTGTGGAATGTTTTTAGATGTTTCACTCAATAAAAGGTGAGTGTGGCAGTGCGTGAATGTTTTCAATGTATGTACATAAATCAGTCAAATATAATCTTCTTCTTATAATCTTGCAATCACAAGCATTTATTTGTGTAGTTAATGTTCGTGGACAGGTGAATGCAAAAAACATGCGGTGGGCGTACAAGTCATATAAAAAAACACTATGTAACTGGTTAAGCCAGTTCTTATAACGTTGTTATGTTTGTTCAGAGTCTTAAGCATGACCAACTGCTGATAAGAAAGCTGGTTTTAAATTACCTCCCTCACTTTTTCTACAGGAGGAGGGCAGGTGGTGTGTGGTGAATTTGCCCCACATAAACAGTTAAAATTAGATTGTTGGTTACCACAGTTACCACAGTACACTTCAGATTTATACTCAACTCACAAATGAGGACTTGAGACTTGACTTAATCAAAAACTCCATTCGAGACTCCTTGATGACTTGAGTTTTGTCTCCAAGAAGCTTGACCAAGTGACAGGCGGTCATTGAAAAACCATATAGCTTAAATATTTTATTAGGTAAGAGAATCACTGCCAACGCATTCTAGGGTAAACCATTTTAATAGATAACATTCAGATACATAAAAACTTGCCTTAGACTCGTCCTTTAGGACAACATTTTTGACAAAAAGTATTTGTTCATTATTGCACATTTAATTTCCCAAACAGACACACTGCCTATAATCATGTCCATTTTTCTTGATTTGTGCATCACAAAGCAAATCAGCAGATAACACCTTCAACAACTGAGTGAAGACGTGACGTGTGTACGTGTGTGTGTGGTGTGTGTGTGTGTGTGTGTGAGGAGAAAATACAGGTTTTGTTTCCTGATAACATCACACTGATCGGAAAAAGGTTTTAAACAAACATGACTCACAATGAACAGATTGAAACTATAAGGTTATCTGATGTGTGTTTGTGTGTGTCAGACTAGAATTTAACAAGAATATTGCATAAGAACTCTCTGTTACAAATAACATGTAAAAGGTTTTCTGATGAGAGTGCAGGTACTGCCCCTGATGAGCTGCTTCAGGTTGAGGTGTGGCTCTGCATAAAAGGAGCTGCAGGTACCAGCTGCGTCTATGGATTTTCTATCCAGCGGACAGTAAGTTCACTTTTTAAACTCTGATGATGATTTGTAGCTTTTTAATTTAGGAAGATATGGAATGAGTACGTGCAGAAGGTGATGGTCGTTTTTGTTCTGAATTATTGCACATATCACACCTTAACACGCCTTAAAGTTACATTTTTCTATGTCTTAATATTTTATAAAGGTGTTTCTGTTTTTCTTCTTTAATTATTGTGTGAAAATATTTTAATTATTTAAATTTTCCTCAATTTCAGGGTCTAAAGTTTTGAAATGAATCGAGGTAAATAACACAGTTGCTTTTGGTTTATCCTCACCTCTTTCCTCCAAACATATCAACTGTCTATTGTACACTTTACGCTCATATATTGATTTATGACTACTTACAGGACACTGTGGTCAAGGAGGCCACGGACAAGGTGGTGGGTACGGACAGTGCGGACAAGGTGGTGGGCACGGACAGTGCGGACAAGGTGGTGGGCACGGAAACTGTGGTGGCCATGGACATGGTGGCCATGG